ATATATATATATATATATATATATATATATATATATATATATATATATATATATATATATATATTCTTTTTTTTAATTCTATAAAATAAATAAATAAATTTGACTTAAAGGCCCTTCCACACAATAATATCTAAAATAATAATTACACAGCTGAAGATATAAAATCTTATTAAAAGATGTGTGCACTTTTATTTATACACACACACACACACATTGGTCGATTTATATGTTTTATTTACTTTTGTTTTAGTTTGACAAATTATATTGTATTTTATTTTATAATTAGTTTTAAATGTTATTTCTGTTGGGGTGGGAAAGAACATTCTGAAATATTTTTAAAGTTAATATTCTGTATTGTTTGCTGAGTTTTGTAGTATAATTAAAATCAATAAAAACAAAGTTAGATGTGTGTACATGCCACAACTACTGTATGACGACAGCAGCACAGAAAAGCAGTATTCTATGAACTGCTTTCTGAAGAATTTTCTTATCAGCTGATGAAAGATAAAACATTAACATCAGAAGTGCGTTTAAAATGGCAGACAACAAAACAGAATAAACAACCAACACTGTGTCTTTATCAATACAGGTTTATTTTTAGTTACTTGTAGTTTTTTTTATTGTGCTTCAAAACCATCTGTAGTACTGTAAATCTTAAATACATTATTAAATATAATATATAAATTAAATAATTCACCCTTTTCTGCTGAATGGAGAATGGTGAATTTATTTGATTTATTTAATAAATTTGCTAATTGAATAATAAAGATGATGTTTTTGTCTAGGTCGAGGGAAAAAAAATTCTACAGGAAATGATCCAATCTGATCTGTCCCTTTCATTTAGTGCCCTAACACCCTGGAAGCCAAAAGGGGTTATGCAGAATCTCACATCATCCTTCCTGTGATCTGAGAGAATGAGGTCCAACGACACCAGGATTCTAAATGAGTGAATCTACACAATCCTTTTTTTGTTTTGCTGTGCATATATTTAAATGCAAATCCGTAAAATTCTATGTAATGAATTTAAATTGCATTAAACAAAGCTACAAATCTTATTGCTAGCTAAAGGCACAATTGAATTAGCAAATGAGACACGGGATATGCAGAACTGATGGGAGTTTAGAGAGAGCTCAGCTGTGCCTTAAAAGCAGGAACAAGGAAATTGTATGGTGGCCCTGACTAATGCCTGGAACAATAAGAACTGGCTCTGATGGCAGACACACAGATACACACACATATATGCATAGATCATGAGTTCAGCAAGCCAAACAAGCCTGTTTGTCTGTTTGTCATCACACATCACGCTTATCTATGTGGCCTAGGTTGTTATTAAGAATCTGTGTGTGTTGACAGCTTTTATTGCCCTGTCTGTTACACTACAGTGTAGGTCAATCATTAGTGTGCAGCGAGGTAAGACATCACATAATGCTGAAACATGAGCCAGAGGCTCTGTAAACAGACGCTTTATAATGTGCATGAACAGAAATTGCTAGGAAGAGCTTGTTGTGTTGAATGCGAGGCTCACCGGCACTGCTTTTGACACAGACTTCCACCCTGCCGAGACACTCCTTATGGGCGCCAGCACCACATTTAGAGCACCGGTAACCTTGATAGAAGACCCCTCTGATAAAATCATACACAGACAGAATGAGAAATAGATTAATAAATATGACACTTTTAAGCCCTAAATATTCGATTTTAAAACTTTAATAAAATAGAACAATAGATACTGTAGGTAAAACAATAGAACAATAGAAAATAGATAAAACGGTAGACTGATAGAACCACAGATAAAACGATAGATTGCTAAAATTATAAATGAAATGATAGATCGATAAAACGATATATAAAATGATAGATCAATAAAACAATAGCTTGATAAAAGGATAGATAAAGTGATAGCTTGATAAAACATTAGTTTGATAAAACAATAAATAAAATGATAGATTGATAAAATGGTAGTTAAAAAGATGTCAAAAAACAATAGCTCGATAAAATGATAGATCAATAAAACAATAGATAAAATGATAGATCAATAAAATGATAGCTCAATAAAAAAATTTATTAAACGATAGATCGATAAAACGGCGAATCGATAAAACAATAGCTCGATAAAACAATAGATAAAATGATAGATCAATAAAACAATAGCTTGATAAAACGATAGATAAAATGATAGCTTGATAAAACAATAGTTTGATAAAACAATAAACAAAATGATAGATTGATAAAATGGTAGTTAAAAAGATGTCAAAAAACAATAGCTAGATAAAATGATAGATCAATAAAACGATAGATCAATAAAATGATAGCTCAATAAAACAATAGATTAAACGATAGATCGATAAAACATTAGATCGATAAAAGGAAACATAAAACGATAGATCAATAAAATGATAGATTAAACGATAGCTCGATAAACAATAGATAAAATGATAGATCAATAAAAAGATAGCTCAGTAAAACAATAGATGAAGTAATAAATCAATAAAATGATAATTCAATAAAACAATAGGTAAAAGGATAGCTTGTTAAAACGTTAAAGGGATAGAACAACAGATAAAACGATAGATTGCTAAAACGATATATATAAGGATAGCTTGATAAAACGATAGATTGCTAAAACGATAGATATAAGGATAGCTCGATAAAATGATAGATTGCTAAAACGATAGATATAAGGATAGCTCGATTAAACGAGAGATCGCTAAAACAATAAATAAAACGATAGATCGATAAAAGGACAGATAAAACAATAGATCAATAAAAAAATAGATCGATAAAAAAATAGATAAAATGATAGATCGTATTAAGAATAGATAAAAGAGAGGTCAATAAAATGATAGATAAAAAGTTAGCTTGATAAAACGATAGCTTGATAAAATGATGGATCGATAAAATGATAGATAAAATGATAGATCGATAAATTGACAGCTCGATAAAACGATAGATAAAACAATAGATCAATAAAATGATAGATCGGTTAAATGAAAGATAAAATGGATAAAAAATGGATAAATTGATGAATCAATAAAATGACAGCTCGATAAAACAATAGATCAATAAAATGATAGACCTATAAAACAATAGATTGATTAAAAGTTAAAATTTTTTATCTCATTAGGGTGGGTTTGTCAAAAGTATCGACTTCGGTACCAATCGGTACTTTAATGGGTACTGAAAAAAAAGTCAATTTCTCGCTAACATTTGACCACTGTTGAGTGTGTTCTTAAACACCGATTGGCTATTGTGTTCATGTGCTCAATGATATGATTGTGATTGGCTGTGAAGATCATTGGTTTACTACTCTTTGTCACTGTTCATCAAGTGCAAACACCACGTCAATCAGCTGATCTCAGTTCCAACTGGTACCGAATTCAATACTTTTGACAACCCTACATTACAGTGCATTGTGGGTCTTCTGGGTCATTCACAAGAAAATCTAATAATTCACAGGGCCTCTATGGTGAGCTCACCTCAGCAGCATTTCACATGAGCTGCAGGATGTGGTTGTCTCAAAGGTGTGCATGCGGAACTCATGGAAATTACATTTCCCGCTCTCTGGACAGATGTTCGATCTGTTGAAAGAGAACGTGAGAGAGAGAGAAAATGGGTGTTAAAAACTAGTCTGAAGGCCTCTTTGCATAACGTAACTCCATCTGTCGCCTGCTCCAATAAACTGTGGGCCTCACAAGACACATAAGGCTAACTAGATATTAGCATTTTCCAGGAAACAAAATGATAGTGTCAACATATAAAAATAAAAATCAATACCACAAAGCTAAGATGCTCCCTTTAAACCAGATGTTCATAAGTGTACTGCATTTATACATAATGTGGTTTTCTATCTTCGATAACACTACATTTCGAGGTTCAATCATTTTATGAACTTTAATCTTTTTTAGATACTTTAATCTTTAGGAAATGATTTATCTGCTTGATTTGCTGCTATGCTGTTACTAAGGTGTTCCAAGCTTTTTAAATTCTTGCATTGATTCAACAAGGTACTGCAAACATTCCTCAGAGATTTTGGTCCATATTGACATGATAGAATCACGCAGTTGCTGCAGATTTGTCAGCTGCACATCTATGATGCGAATCTCCTATTCCACCACATTCCAAAAGTGCTCAATTGGATTGAGACCTGGTGACTGTGGAGGCAATTTGAGTACAGTGAACTCATTGTCATGTTCAAGAAACCAGTCTGAGATGATTAGCACTTTATGACATGGCACGTTATCCTGCTGGAAGTAGCCATCAGAAGATGGGTACACTGTGGTCATAAAGGGACGGACATGCACAGCAACAATACTCAAGTAGGCTGTGGTGTTGACACGATGCTCAATTGGTACTAATGGGCCCAAAGTGTGCCAGGAAAATATCCCGCACACCATTACACAACCACCACCAGCCTGAACTGTTAATACAAGGCAGGATGGATGCCAAATGTGGACCTACCATCCAAATGTCGCAGCAGAAATTGAGACTCATTCTCTATAAACCCTAGAGATGGTTGTGCAAAAAAATCCCAGTAGATCAGCAGTTTTTGAAATACTCAGACCAGCCAATCTGGCACCAACAACTATGCCATGTTCAAAGTCACTTAGATCAACTTTCTTCCCCATTGTGATGCTCGGTTTGAACTGCAGCAGATCATCTTGACCATGTCTACATGCCTAAATGCATTGAGTTGCTGCCATGTGATTGGCTGTTTAGAAATTTGCGTTAACGAGCAGTTGGAAAAGGTGTACCTAATAAATCGGCCGATGAGTGTTTGTAGCAAACCAACCGTACAAATGCATGCAAAAGGTCCTGCATGTAAAAATATACAGCTATTATGATTTGATATTGATATTTGACAAGATGTCACATCTGCATTAATTAAATAATACACTATTTTCCATAATATTAAGTTGCATAATCGGTTCAAATCTAAAAACCAGAGCATGAGCTACAGTACTAGTGATGCACCACTAATTAAAGCATCAGCAGAGCATGATACAGTAGCATCCATGATGTCGTCTATGGCACTATTACTGTTTTATAGTCCAAGACCCTCCCGCCCTTTTCTCCATCTCTCTCTCCATTCATCTCCAATAACCCTAGAGCGCCGAGTGCCCTCATAATAAAGGCATTAAGAGATGACGGACAGATGAGAGAGCTGTCGGTGCGCGCTGATGTCATGTCATTAGCACTCGGAGTGTGTAACAGCACAGATCTCCAATCAGCTTTGAGCTGCGGACTGATCTGATGACACATGACAGAGAGAAAAAGAGCACTGACTCACCACTGTTCTCCAGAATTAATGAGCCCTTCAGATAATTCTGTTAAAAACGTGTTATCTAATTAATCAGAGCGCCGTCTCTTGTCTTTGCTTCATTACAGAGTTTTTTTTTTTTTTTCTCCTGTCTTATTCCAGTCGTTCCCTTTTTGGATCTGAAGTTTGGAACACTCGAGTCAGATGCTGCACTGTGTTTTTCATTTGCATTTTTCTGATTGTTGCTGTCATAACCCAGCAAACAATTGTGTTTATGATACATCTACTAGACATCTAATAGACATCTAAATGTAGAACGCTTGGCTAAAACAAGGCTAAACTTGGGCTGTCAGTGAGAATCTAATAGACATCTAAGAATAGCCCGAAACTAGACAAGTCATCAAATAGACAGATTAGACAGACTTTATATAAGTAGTCATTCATTTCTGTTTATTTGATCACTAGTCTAGTTTTGGCCTATTCTTAGATGTCTATTAGATTTTCACTGACAGCCCAAAATTAGCCTTGTTTTAGCCAAGACGACTATGTTTAGACGTCTATTAGACATCTTTTAAAATGTAAAAATACTTACTGGGAAGTCAGGTAATATTAGGGGTGTGCATCTACTCTGGTCTCAAGGTTTGTTTTATTACGAATATCATGCCATCAATTTGGCTCAATTTGATATCTCGGTGCATCACGGTGCAGTGACAATGCTTTCCATACATAATTAGATTTTTTCTTCACAACACAATTTTTTTTATATTAATATTTATATGGTATTTGTAATACAATTTTGTCCTTTAATACAAGCAGTCAGATATATGAACTGTCCCTTTAGTTTTACCTGCTCAAAGAAAACTCTTTTTGAATCTATCAAACAAAACTCATGAGCGTTTATAGCAAATAAACTAATGTCAATATTATCCTGCTTGCTTTTTGAGCACTGTCTTACACCCCTATGATCGGTCATTGTCTTCAGCCGCTTAACAGAAAGGGCTGCGATTGGCTTTAGAAATTAAATCGCTGTTCACCGACGATTGACGCGGGAAGAACATCTGCGGTTACAGTCTATATGCACATAATACGTGGTTATCACAGGTAATCCATAATAGACACAGTGAAAAAAACTTGCACTACAGGCACGCTCATGTCTGGATCCACAAGTATCGCTTTAACAGCCGAGAGGAGAGGAAAAGTCACATCACAAACACGCCAGCGGGTCATATGTCCAAAGTGTAATAGATAGAGAGATTTACAGAGTTTCTCCCTAGTAGTTAAAATGCAGCTCGTGTACTGTGCCTTCTTCAGTGTCAATGAAAGACTTTCCAGCAAATTCACAAGCATTGAATCATGCATAATAATCTACCTTTTTGGTAGGAGCGTGTAATTTACTTGCCCTTGCCTCCTTCGCCATAGTATTCTACTGCAACATCGCGCATAGGAGATAAATGACATTAGTACCTAATAACCGGTTATGATCTATTACTGAACCGATATCGAATTGTCCCCATCTGCATCGCGGTGCAGCAAAGAAGCAATTAATTTTGACATAAATGTTTTTTCTAGCGATAAGCGACCAGTACTACCTAATTTTAGGCCTACTCAATGTCTGAATTGTGCTTTTATGCAAATGAAATTTGACAGTTATAAGTATGTATGATTATATTTGTTGTGACAAAATTTTGTTGTGGTGGTCTTGGCTGAAAATGTGAACACAGTGCCACTGTCACACATACACACTGTGGAAAATTTGCAGCGCGATGACGTTATATGCGGCTGTAAGTGTGAGCGCGGCCGTCTTTATGACAACACTGTACTTTGTAATAGGCCAGTCAATCGGTGCACCTCTACCAAAAGTCCCTCATATTCCATGGCTTGGAAAAAAAAATACACTTTCCTGACTTTTAAAGTCTGGATGAGACTTTCATGATATTCCAGAGAATTCCATGAACGTGGGAACCCTGAAATGATAATGTATTTCTGATATGTATTCACTTATTCCTTTGGCTTAATCCCTAATTTATCAGGGGTCGCCACAGCAGAATGAACCGCTAACTACTCCACCATATGTTTTACACAGCGAATGCCCTTCCAGCTTCAACCCAGTACTGGGAAACACCCATAAACTCTCACATTCACACACACTCTCAAACACTATGGCCAATTTAATTAATCAAATTGGCTCATAGTGCATGTCTTTGGACTGTGAGAGAAACTTGTGCACCTGGAAGAAACCCACGTGAACACGGGGAGAACATGCAAACTCCACACAGAAATGCTGGGACTCAAACCAGTGACCTTCTTGCTGTGAGGTGACAGTCTAACCACTGAGCCACCAAGTCACCTCTTTATTTCTAATATTTTCACATGAAATGAAGAAAGCAGTGAATGATGCACTATTGTACTTGCACTTTCATGAGAAAACGCAGCCATGTTTTGCTCGTGTTCCATGGAAGAAAGAAAGTCTTGAATGTTTGGAATTACATAAGTGCGAGTAAATAGCCAAATGTAATTCTTTTTCGTGAGCTAATCCGATACGGATCGTAAAGAGCCTGCAAAAATGGTCACACACACATTATAAGTGAACTTCAGGGATAATAAAATAATAAAGAAACTCATAAAAAGCTGAACAGCATATATTTTAAAAAACAACAACACTAACTAAAAAAAAATCATCCTGGTGTGTTCTGTGTCTTGAGACTCTCTGCAAAACTGAACCAACCAGTCTCAGAGAGTGAAAGCCCGTTGGGTCACATTATGTTTTATAAAGCACACCTCTGCGAAAAATGCCTGGCTAAGCAAGTCTGTCCTCATTACCGTGTTTGTTCTGTAGTAAAAAATAAACACTAATGGTATTTCAGTGTTGAATCAGAGCCAGGACACACTGTCGGAGCTAAATCTTGTCTTTGCGTCTGCTGTCAAGGCAGATAACAAACCTGAAAAACAAGACGGTACGGTTACACACACACACTCACAATGCCATGCCAAACTGCTCCTGCCATTTCTTCTTTAGCTCCTTGGTTTTGAAGAAGAACTCAAAGCCGTTTTGACCCTGGTTGTGTGTGAGGTAGAATCCATGGCACCACTGGAAGACACAGAACATCAGTGTTATGAATGCAAAACACACACACACACATGCAGGGATACAGAAAAGACAAACACCGTCTTAAAGCTGTTTGATTTAAAACATCAAAAGGCGCTCTAACGAGGATCAGGATACATGGGGGTCACTGTTTTTATGCAAGACTGATGAAATACTACTGTTAAATAGAGCTGGATCATCTTGTTATCTTTTGTATTGTGTTGACGCTTATAGAAGTTTTTAACTGATGGTGGTTTTAACCACACTTAACAAATGGATCAGACTTTATCACTTGGAATAAAGCAGAGCAGATTCACTCAGATTCACTAAATAAATATCTTCTCTTTGTGTGTATTGCGGTGTGAATAATGAATTAAAATTATTCTGTTTTTACTGGATTTTTTGTTTTATGAATGAAAGAAAATGTGATTTTAAGGCAGCAAGAGTTATTTACAGTTCATGTACTATACACTTACCTGACAAAAGTCTTGACGCCTTATCCAAGTTTTAATAACAACAAATAACGACTTGACTTCTAGTTGATCATTTGGTATCAGAAGTGGCTAATATGAAAGGCAAAGGCCTCTAGATTACGCTTATTTTAACAAAATCAAATATGATCATGCCTTGTTTTTTAATTAATTAATTAGGACAATACGGTCTGTCTTTGCTCAGACAAAAGTCTTGTCTCTAAAAAGAAATAATGCCCAGTATAGAATATAAAGTCATGCTGCAGTGGAGAAACAATTAATATTGTGTATGACTCACATGAGCTTGGAGGACTGCATCCATACATCACTGCAATGACTCAAATAACTTAATAATAAAGTCATCTGGGATGACAAAGAAAGCGTTCATCAAGTTCATCAAGATTCTTTGAATTCATCTTCAATGTCTCCTCCATCTTACCCCAGACATGCTCAATAATAGTCATGTCTGGTGACTGGGCTGGCCAATGGAACTTTGACTTGGAGTGAAAGTATGAGAAGGAGCGCTATCCTGCTGAAGAATTTGCCCTCTCCAGTGGTTTGTAATGTAAGGGGTAGCACATATGTCTTGACACCTCAGGCTGTTGATGTTACCATCGACTCTGCAGATCTCTCGCACGCCCCCATACTGAATGAAACCCCAATCCATGATTTTTCCTTGACCAAACTTGATTGATTTCTGTGAGAATCTTGGGTTTAGGTGGGTTCTAACAGGTCTTCTGCAGTATGTGGATGATTGGGATTCAGCTCAACAGATGATTCATCTGAAAAATCTACCTTCTGCCACTTTTCCAAATGATCAACTAGAAGTCAAGTTAATATTTGTTGCTCTTACAACTGGGATCAACGACAAGACCTTTGTCAGAGTATTATCCAAAAGCTTCAGTGCAATAAATATTACAAATATAAACAACTTTTTTGGTAACAAAATTTGGAAATATTGTGAAATTTCATTACAATTTAAAATATACTGATTTGGTGCTTGAAATACTTCTGATTATCAACAAAGTTAAAACATTTTGCTCCCTAATATTGTTGGTGTTTTGTTTTGTTTGTTATTTTTCTGAAAAAGCCATGCATTCAATGTATTGGATACTTCTTAAACCCTTAAATGTTATGTTATGCCTTCAATTTAAACCCTTCAATTTACAATTTACATTGATTATGTTTGTGTTTCTAGTACAGTCTGACAAATTCTAAGCAAATTAAATGTAAAATGTCAATGTAAAGCGTTTTAATACAACATTTTATTTAATATAATATTCTAATATTATAGTTTCTAATCAAATAAAATAGAATACTTTAATGAAAAAATTTGATTGTACAATTATTATTAGATGGCAGCACGGTGGCGCAGTGGGTAGCACAATCGCCTCACATCAAGAAGGTCGCTGGTTCGAGCCACGGCTGGGTCATTTCTATGTGAAGTTTGCGTGTTCTCCCCATGCTCGCTTGGGTTTCCTCCAGGTGCTCCGGTTTCCCCCACAAGTCTGAAGACATGTGGTACAGGTGAATTGGGTAAGCTAAATTGTCTGTAGTGTTTGTGTGTGCTTTAGTGTGTATGGGTGTTTCTTAGTGTTGGGTTGCAGCTGGAAGGGCATCCGATGCTTAATACATATGCTGAATAAGTTGGCGGTTCATTCCGCTGTGGTGACCCCAGATTAATAAAGGGACTAAGCCGAAAAGTAAATGAATGAATGAATTATTATTAGATAATACTGACTAGATCACACAGACGACAGTGCAGTTTTTCCTTACAAAACAAGAATAAAATTTAAAGAACCTGCAAGTATATTGTAATTTCCTCTCTTATTATCATATTCTAAAAGTTTTATTACATAAATAAAAAATAAAAAAAAAACTTTTATCAACACATCCAACTTATCTATCATTTTCTTAAACCTGTAGCATCATTTCTCAGCCACACACTTTCTCATGCATGTAATATTTACAGCACCATCTACCAAGTAATTGTCCTGGCACAGCAGCATGTAATGTATCATAACAAACAACATCATGTTTTCTAATTTAGCAGTGTCTGGCAACGTCTGCGTTTGTTAGCAATCGCTAGACGGTTTTTAATAGGAAACACCATCTGTGCGAATGAAAGCTGTTCTAGCGCAGTAACTGATTATGGCAGAACAGCGCAGTTGCTGCCCTCTGCTTTTTTGGGAGGCCGTCTGCGCACCTTTCGGTTTTCTTTTTCTGAGGTGGGGTTGTTGGTGATCTTGAAGGAGTGGAGGTCGATCACCTCCTTCATCTCGTAGTTATCGCCTCGCCGTTTGCATACGATCACGGCCGAGTCAAACAGGAAAATGTGCCTGCGGGAGAAGATCAAGAGAGAAACAGAAGAAATAAAAGAAGAGCGCTTGAGGTGACGCTTTGGTAACTCGGAGGCCTCGGGTTCAGAATCGCACACTTTCATCATCTCACCTGTCTTGTTTGGCTCGTTTGTCGACTGAAGCGACTCGCACTTCGCTGTCACCTTTTGGTCTGCCATAGTTACGGAGAGACTGATTCTGCAGAGCGGAGACACAGAGCAAATACACTTGTAGAGGTCAATGTTTTGGAGTTTGATGCTTTCTTAAAAATAAAAATCTTCAAAAGCTTCTGCAGGTTTCACCAAGTCCAATTTAAGACTTTTTAAGAGCTTTTAAAGACCATGAAGAATGAAATTTCACACTTATACAGGACTAAACACTTTTTTTTAAATCACCCAACAGAAAAAAATACTTTCCCCATCAAAATACAAATTCTAATTAGTTATTTTTTAGCCACATATTTTAAATGATGTAGCAAAACAAGCAGACCAGAGTTGCATAATTGCATGGTTTTCAACATAACTTTAAAAAAACTCTTTAAGAAAATCTATTTATGCACAACACACTGTTATAATTTTAGTTATGAATATAGTTTTGCCAAAAGTTTTATTAAGGTTGTATTGTCGATTAGGTAGCTTTACATAAACGAAGGAAAATTAAGTGAAGTTTCACAAACTAATTTCGAGAGTAGCACGTGATATGATTGACCGCAGCTGGTCTCTCATCTATTATCATTGGTTAGCCAATCAGATTAATCCAAACTCACTATACTGTAAGTAGCCTCGCAAAAATGTACTCCCTTATCTTCGTTTTCCAAAGAAACCCCCCGTCCACCCCTTCTCCCCCTCTCTTCCTTTACCATGGGGAGCTCTCAAGAACCACCTGATCTCTTACTCCCCTTACATGCTCTATCGACCAGGCGGGAGCCCTGGGCTCAATTATCTCCGAGCTCAGGGTTCTCTCCCGGGAGAGAACTCTCTCTGCCAAACCTGCTAATAGCATCAAGCAATATCTGAGCTTGAAGACCCAATAAAAAAGATTTAAGACCTACAAGACACTATTTTAGTGAATTTAAGACTTTTAAGACCTAATTTATTAATATTTTTTTTTATTTAAGACATTTTAAAGATTTTTAAGGTCTTTTTTATTTTAACTGGATAATTTGTAGCTTTTGTCAGCTAATTTCATCTTCCGGGTTTAAAATAATTTTTGGAGTGAGATCAAAATTGGTGACATAGCGCCAATCTCCTAGTGGAGTGATTTCTCATTATTATTCACAGCAGAGTTTTCTTACCCTATAAGAAGACCCTGCTTCTTAATTATTCATAAGCGAACATGCTTTCTGAAGGCATGAGACATTTTACTATATCAAGGTTTAAAACAATAGTATTTACTATTAATTACTATAGGATTTTCTCCCAAAACTGCTTTTTTAAAAATACATTCTATTATTTAAACAAAGATATTACTCTTAAGGCTTTCAAAAACACTACAGATTTACTATAAATGACTATAGTATTTTTTTCATGTGGGTGTCTGCATTTACTTTCCCAAAACTGCTTTTTAGAAAAGACATTCTGTGATTTAATTAAACAAAGCATGTGATATTGCTCAAAAGTAAACAAAAAACACTTTAGTATTTGGTATTAATAACTATAGTATTTTTTTATTCTTGTGAGTGTCTGCATTTAATTCCTTAAAACTGCTTTTTTAAAAAGGCATTCTGTGATTTAAACAAAAGCGTGGGATTTTGCTCACAAGGTTCTCTATGGACTTCTGGTACTGGTCGATGTCTCGTAGAGTCTCGATGTCTCTCTTCACCTCGTTGACATACTGAGCCAAATCCTGCACACAAAAAAACACCTCCACATTCAACACACGCAGACTTTGACCTGACTGTGAACAAGGAAAAAATTCCAGCTAAAAATAAACACATTTCGCCCTCAGCTTCCCTATTGACAATGGCGGCCCGTCTGATGTTTTCAAGAGACATGTTTCCATCTAAAAATGTCAAATAAAGAGAGAAAAAAATGAAAACTGTCTCATTTCTCATAATGAGAGATTGGGAATCTGGATGGCCCAGCGTGAGGAGCTTTAAGGGGAGCACTTGAGGAGGTTAACCATGTTAGCCTGATACCCCAATCAATGCTAAGTGGCTAATTTACCCAAATGAAATCATCGCAGCCCTCTGTGCACAATCTGCACAATCTTCTCAGCTTGATTTGCCTCAATTAGCGGACGCTTACCTGTCAAGACGCATTCGGCACCATCTTGATCATGTCTGAGTCAAGAGGGCCACATCGATTCTAAGTAAAAGCCTTTCTCACACACAAAAAAAACTTGACGCATGGTGGTGCAAAATATAGAGCTTTAGGAGAATCGAATGTGTGACTGTTGTAATTTGAAATTGAACACGCATGACCTTTGATGTGGCAATGGAGGATTACCAAAGAGGCCATGCAACTGACAGCTTGTTAAAAAAATACATACTTTAAATAACATGCCAAGCTAGTTATATATTTATGAATGAAAATATCAGTGAGCTAATATATTATATCATTAATTTAACTACAAACCTAAACATTGTAAACAAAAGTTAATACAGCTGCACTTTCTATTTTTTTTTTTTTTTTTTGCCTAGTTAATTTAATGATCTTTTAAAGCTTTTAAATAGCACTTTAAACTTAAAACTGGTTATTTCCAAACTAACAATTGAAATAGCATTTACTGTTAACATGGCAAAGACAAAATAAATGTGTTTTAATTCATTTTTAATTTGTTTTTTAATTTCTCTCTCTCTTTCTCTCTCTTTCTATGAAATCAAAGGGGAGACTTCAGCAAACTTATTTTTAACACATCTTGTATCAGTTGTTGTAAAAAAAAAAGATCAATTATATATATGCAGTGCGATGTGGCTGTATATCGGCACTGGTGGTAGGTGTGCGTTGGCTCGAGGCTGCATGCCGAGTGCCTTAGTGTCGCACCAGTGATGGAATACAGCCATATCACACAACTATGAGTGTGATATTGCATTTATACAACTGTTCAACGACACAATCGTGTGTATAAAAATGAAAATCAAACACGGAGAGTCTAAAAACCCTTTTGTAAAAGGAACTACTTTCTTCTGCCGTTCACTCACATCTGCAGCTGACATGAGAACTGCAGAAACCATTGCTAACTAACAGACGTCACTTTACAGCTAGTATTTGAAAGATTTTCTAGCATAATTTCTAAAATGATAACAAAACAAGTGATTTCGCTCACATTTTAAGATTACAAGGCTGAACAGCATGAAATGCCATCAGTGTACAGAGATTTTCAAGTATTTCTTTGTTGCAATCAGGAGATCACAATATTTAACCACTGAAAAAGCCAAAAGTGTGGTGAAAAGCCAAAGAAAATCAAACACTATCAGAATACTATGGAATAAATACAGCACTACAAAATACAAAAGAGAGGGATGAACATAGAGGGCTAAGCGCAAAGTTTAAAGCGTAGGGCACAAAAGCATTAAAGGCATGTCCGAATCCCCTTTTGCTATAATAAGGACGAAAAAATACACTCTGTGCCATGGTGCATGGTCTAACAGGGTTGAGCTTATTCTCTAATTGAGTTCTGATTGTGTTTTGAGAATAAATCAATCAGAGTCACATCTCCCATTCCCTTTAAGAGTCAGTTGCGTAACACCATGGTGAATTTGCTATTTACATGGTGGACTTTGTAAGTGTAAAAACTGAGCGCTTCGCTAAAGAGAAAGCAGTTAAACTGACCATCTGCAGCATGATGATGAAAGAATGAGCCTCCTCCATTCGGCCTTTACTTTCACTTTTTTTTCGTGGATTAGGAAACAGTGTTGTATGCACAGACATCATTAGCCTAAATAATTAATTTTGTTTGTTAAGCGCAACAATTTGTTTCAAAACTATTTCTAAATTCAGTTCTAATTTGCAGCAAACGAATAAATGAACAATACTATATAACTGAGTTATATCCAAATACACATGCTATGCCCCATATGGCCCAGAATCTGACAGGTGGACAAATCTAAGCTTATTTTTAATAAAAACAAATATAAATATGCATATGATAAATAATAGTACCACTATAAATTGCATTATACCAAAGCAAATTGTCATGAACAAACTAAAAAAGCCCCCCCGAGATGAAGAATGCAGAGGCGGTGGTTTTTATATTCATGTAGAAAATAATTTTTAAAATATTTAATCTGTTAATTATTTTTCATTTGTAAAGATATTTGCGTATTGCTGTACACCCTGTGTGTATTAAGCAATGTGTAAGCACACAACTAACGCGCTCTGCGCTGGACTTTAGACCTGCTTTCAGCTCGTCTATTGAACAGTCTATTTTAGTTCCTAAAAATAGCAACATGCCAACAATGCGCCTTAACACACCTCTTATCTAGACCAAAACAACCATGAGTCCACAAAGTGGTGCAAGTGGATTTGCTATTTAAACGATGTGGCAGAAAACGAGAAAACGAGTGTTGCGTTGGTCTGAAAATAGCAACACGTCGTGGAAACAGCGTATGATAGGGCCCAGAATGTCACTCACCAGTTTTATAATTATTGGTTAGCTGTAGTTTGAAACTTACACTGAAAAAAAACTGTATTTCTCCCCTAAGGACTTATTATGCGGTCTCTGTCATCATCTTGTGGCAGAACGTCAAACGTCTTTCCTCTGCTCAGTGTGACAGGCTTACAGCCAACAAAGAACTAAATCTCCAAAATTATAAATATTTAAAATAGGCACTATCCTTATAAATAAACTGCATAGTGGCAATCTAAATAACTATTTTCTAACCTAAAAAAAGCCTAAAAAAAGTACATTTTCTTGTCCAACAGCAGCAATATATGTCAAACTGTAGTCCTCTGCTTGCCACTCATGGGGGCGGAGTAATACACAAGAGTGTAAAGGTTGTACAATTGCTGATATTTCTTTATTATCTCGCGACTATCAGTTAATCAGATTCAAGAACCAGACAGAACTGTTAATTTTTTTTATTTTTTTGTTTTTATTATTTTAAGCATATGTATTATATAAATATAAGCTTGTCGGTATAAATTATACAGTGCGACTCACCTTCATGGCGTCCAGCGCCTGCCGTAAGTTAGTCTTGTCAGTGGCATCATGTGTGTGTTTGACCAGCTCCTGTCAGGAAGAAAACAAGATCTGAGATCAGTGTCTTATTATTGGCAGATGAGGATGATGATGACAGTCTGCTGGAGGACATCTGTCACTCTCACAACACCGGCAAATCTGTTTACCAACACTAATCCAACACACACACACACACACACACACACACACACACACACACACACACACACACACACACACACACACACACACACACACACAGTCAGATGAAATGTGAAGCCATGCCCTACTAAGAAAGTTGTGAAATAAGTCAAACATACTCAAACCAGACCATATGACTGCAATGGTTCAATCTGAATATTATACAAGAATATTAACAGCTTCTCATCTTCAGTGTCAGTATATTGCGCATATTTGTGAGAACTGTGCACTGATGTACCCCTTTGGATGTCCATGTGGAAATTCCTCTGTTTAAAACAAAGCACAGGTGCATCCGAACACACTCTATACTGAAACTGAGGTGAACTGGTGAACAAATTAGTTATTTTTGTTTAATGTGCACACTTGCAGCTTGATAATATTCCGATTGAACCACTGGAGGTGGTTGATCTTGTTCTGAGGATGATTTTTATTTTTATTTTTTTCGGGACTGGGCATAAGACTAGACCATTGAAGTACAGTAGATGAAACACAAAGCTCTGAGATTTCTTCAGAAGTATGCTATTTTTATTTTTGCGTAAACAACCCTTTAACATTTACACCTTAAATATTTGCTGTTTTTATAGGTAGTTACGACACAAGATGAAAATAAAACTATTGAAAAACTATTGAAAGTAATGACATTTTTATAATTTTATTCAAATTAAAATAAACAACTATTATACATTGCCATAAAATGTAAATATGAATATTTAGTAATATAAAGATATAAAAATAAAGCTTTAAATGAAGTTTTAGTTAAATTAATAAGTATTCTAGATTTGAGATTTATAGTGCTCAGCATATATAAGTACACCCCTCACAGACCCCTCTTTTAAATTAATATATCTAATAGCAACAGGATGCTTTACAATCATATATTTATCCATATACCTTAGATTAGTCAATACCAACACCAAAACTGAAACTAATGGAACAAAAATTTAAGGTCAAAGTCTAAAACTTAGTACACCCAAATTATTATGTTGGGAAAAATACAAAATAAACTATTAATAAACAAGACAATCAAAAGAAGCATACAAAAATATCAAATTTAATTTATTATTAGTTTGTTTGCAATAGCTCATTTCAATTTAATATTTTGTTAATACATTTGGCTTGTATACTTGTAATACTTTCTATTTCTATATTTATAATGTATATAACTGTTATAAAATTGTTGTGTTTAAAGGCACCAAAAGTTATTATCGATATTAACTAAAAAATGGAATTAAAAAACAATTATTTTCAAATGGGGGTGTACTTATTTATGCTCACTGCATATAGATATTCATTCATTCATTTATTGATTTTCATTCAGCTTAGTCCTTAGTAACTGGTGAATAAGCTTAGCTTAGCTTATTCACCAGGGGTCACCACAGCGGAATGAACCACCAAGTTATCTAGCATATGTTTTACACAGCAGTGCAACCCAGTAATGGGAAACACCCAAACACACTTATTCCCACTCATACACTAAGGCAAATTAAGTTTATTCAGTTCACCTACAGCGCATATCTTTGGGCTGTGGGGAAAACCGGAGCACCCAGAGGAAACCCAGAGCAAACTCCACACAGAAATGCCAACTGGCCCAGCTGGGACTCGAACCAGCGACCTTCTTGCTGTGAGGTGACAGTGCTAACCACTGAGCCATCATGTCACCCTGTATATAGATATAATAATATAATTCAACATACAGCACTTACATATTTAACATATACTTAGTATTTATCTAAACATTATTGATTTTTTTGTGTTGGTTAAGATTATATGCTACTCAAGTTCGGAATTATTTATTTTATTATTTTTATTATATTTTTTTGCATGCAAGTTCATCAGTCTAAAAAAGAAACAGCCTCTAACACAATTCAAAGTCTTAAACAAAACCAAACAAACAAGCTGATTATGTGACAAGCACTGAATACAATAATACACAGTGTAGCGTGTCTTTCTAACTTACTTTCTCTTTCTGCCTCACACACAAACACACACACACACACACACATGCGCGCTGAAATAATATCCCACCCTGCATCGCAGGTTCAAGAATTGAAATGAGAAGCAAAAGGTTTTTTGTGGGCTTGAAATTGCCTTCCTGCTCCGGGATGAAGTAAACAAGACATCTGGGCCAGTCTGCAGGATAAGGGAGGCTGCTATGAATGTCCTTTACTCGGGTCTGATAAATGGCTTCCTTTTGGCCTAAGAGATATATTGCCATCCAGCACAAGCCAAATCCCCTGCGTCAGTCAAGCTGAACCTGCGCATTATTATCAGCAGAAAGACGGACATCACCTTATTTTTCATTCTCACTTCCTCCTGCCTCACACAGAGACAGAGACAGAGAGAGACAGACGGGATATCAGCCTAACATACAGATTACAGCTCAAAGAAAATCTCTTATCCAAATCTTTGCAGAACATCATTCAGATTTGATTTCACAGAGTAAGATCCAATTCTTGTTAATTCTGCTTCTCTTGGCATCTTTTCACACCCGATAATTAAGCAAAAAACGATAGTTTCTTATCACCAAGTTGATGATATCCATTACAAAAACATACTGTATATATTTTTTTTATTATATATTTTATTATATTTTTCCTTTATAGACATTTATTGTCATAGTCAGGATGGATGCCTGTAAATTTTACTTCCTGATTTAAAGTAGGGCTCTTGATTCAACTTCCAACTTCTTTGTTCTTACATTTACTGTAGTGAATAAATGAAGAAATAAACAAATTGTTATCAAATGTAATAGTAGCTGGACATTTAAAGGTTTGTACTCAATTTTTTTTTCTCTTAAAAGATGTTTCTTCAGCCTACCAAGGCTATGTTTTTGTGTTGGAAGGAATAGCTCACTCAAAAAATAAATAAAATAAAATACTACATTTACTGACCCCGTCAAACACAAAAGAAGATATTTTGAAGAATGTTGGAAACAGGTAACCATTTACTATCCATAGTATGAGGAACAAACACTATGAAAGTCAATGGTTACAAATTCATGCATTTTTTTTATGATTTATATCGTAACTGATGCCATTTTTTTGTTTTGGGTGAATCACTCATTTAATGCAGCTAATTTAGTTAAAAATAAATAAAAAAATACAAGTACTAAAATCTGAATTTTAAGCATAATTTCTTCAGTGACTTGATGCTTCAGAAATAATTCACAATTTGCTAATTTGATGCTCAAGAAAGAATTCAATTCAGTTTGTTAAATATTTATGTGGAAACTGTGATCAATTTTTAAGATTCTTTGATGCAAGTACACTTCAGAAGAACAGCATATTTAATACAAATCTTTTCTTTGACATATAACCATTTTTTTTTCTAAAATAAAGCAAGTTTGTTAACAATAATTACATTTATGCAAATAAATGAATCTGTGCTGAATATGACTATTCAAAATGTTTAGAACATTCACTCATTCATTTTACTTTGGCTAGTTTCTGGTTTATTAGCCAGATATTCTAGCATATGTTTTACGCAGCAGGTGCCCTTCCAGCTGCAACCCAGTACTGGGAAACACTGACACACACTCGCATTCACACACTACGGCCAATTTTGTTTACCCAATTCACTTATATCTTTCGACTGTGGGGGAAACCCACGCCAACACGGGGCGAACATGCAAACTCCACTTAGATGTGATGCCAACTGGCCCAGCCAGGAATCGAACCAGTCACCTTCTTGCTATGAGGCAACAGTGTTAACCACTAAGCCACCATGCCACCCAGGTTCAGAAGAATTAATTAAAATTAAAGGTTAATATGTTTGTAATAATATTTAAAATATTGTTTACATATTTACAATTGTTACACTATGTTTTCTTAGTTTTTTTTTTTAAATGGTAATACTTGTAGTCATTGATTGCGATACTGTTAAATTCAGAATTATTACCCCCCCAACCCCCCCCCCTGAATTATTAGCCCCCTTGTTTATTTTTTCCCCCATTTTCTTTTTAACAGAGATTATTTTAGCATATTTTTTAAACATAATAGTTTTATTAACTAATTTCTAATAACTGATTGATTTTATCTTTGCCATGATGACAGCAAATAATATTTAAGTAATACATTTTCAAGACACTTCTATACAGCTTAAAGTGACATTTAAAGGCTTAACTAGGTTAATTAGGTTAACTAGACAGGTTAGGGTAATTATGCAAGTTATCGTATAATGATGGTTTGTTTTGTAGACTATCGAAAATAAAAGTAGCTTAAAGGGACTAATAACTTTGACCCTAAAATGGTTTTAAAAAAAAAACTGCTTTTATTCTAGCCTAAATAAAACAAATAAGATTTTTTCCAGAAGAAAAATATCATCAGACATACTGTGAAAATGTCCTCGCTCTGTTAAACATCATTTGGGAAATTTTAAAAAAAGAAAATTCTATTAAAGAATAATAATTCTGACTTCAACTGTATGTGTCAGTTGAAGTGCTAATAATTCCAGATATTGTTATGAAAACCCGACAAAAGCAATCCCTTGAAAAACTGCACCAAAAAAATTTTTAAATATGGACCCTTTTCACATTTCAGGGGTTCTCAGCAGCAGCCGTAGACACTGCATTGCAAAACACCTCGCATAATCGGTATAATTGTAATTTTTTTTTTTGTAATTTGATGCAAAAATGATATAATACATGCATAAATACATATACGTGTACATAGGTTTTATTTAAAACCCAAATATTAAAAACTTTCAATGATTTAAGATTATGATGACTGTTAAATGCGTCAATAACAGTCTTGTAAAAAGGTTCTATTGTATTTTGCTAACAGGATACAAAGGAGATTCTGTAACCTAAAACCTTCATATTCCCATTATTACAATATCCAAATCAAGTTTAATAACACTGTCGCTACAAATATTAAAAACACGTCTGACACAATGCTTGTAATAACTAGATCTGGCAACACAGCAGAGCGGAGGCTTCACCTGTGCTTTAGAAACTTAATCTTAGTCAGAGACATGACTTTAAAAATGTACCTCTATTTGACCTTATCACTGGTTATGGTACAATTTCATTGAGTTCATCCTTGATTCATCAATATTTTATAGTTCCAAAGAATAAATAATAATACATTTGTTAATAAATAAACAATCTAATATCACTTAAATATATTTTTAATTTTGAATGCTGAATGTCAGATTTCTAATGAATTCCAACTCTAAAACTTTGGTTTTCAATTTAAAGCTGGCTTACTCATTCTCTCACTGGCCAAGAAAAGAGAAAGACAGTCTGTCACACACTAGCCTGATCTCAAGAGAACACACACACACACACACACACACACACACACAATCACCTCCCTTAAACCCACAGCTGGCCAGATGGGCAGGGAGGTGAAGTGAGCTGTGCACGGCCATACAGGCATGCTAAACAGACACACACACACACACACACACACACACACACACACACACACGCACACACACACACACACACACAAAGAAAAACCCTCATCTGCTGTGTCCGTCAGATTCAGAAAGAAGACGGTGGTGTATCTCCGTCACATTTCCCTCGCTCTTTCTCTGCTCTTCCTTCACGTTTATTTGTAAATCTCCTTTTTGATTGTAAATCATAGTTGGGTCATAGCCCCACACGTGATGGACAGACACACTTCATCAAATATTCATGGCAAAGCGTGAGGTGTTTGTGGAATCGGCCCAGACAAAACACACTCGACAGGGGAAAGCGAGATGCTTGTTTGTGTACTATTCTGTGGATTGTATTGCCCCTAGTGGACGAGGGTAGAATATATGTTGCACTGCCTCCTGCTGGTGGAGTTTCGACATGAATAATAATGCGGTTTTCTCTGTACAGCGAGATGTGGACAGCACTGCTCCTAGTGGACGCTCACAGTACAACTGACATTTAAACAGCAGGATAGAAGAACTGAGCCTATTTTTGATCAGTGGACATGAATAATTGTTTAGTATTGTAAGATTGCAAAGGATGTTACACCAAAATACATGCATATGAAGGTACTGAATACATACTGTACACACATACAGAGCTGAAAAAAAGTACACTACACACACACACACACTTACAAATATATATAATTTTTATACATTTTTAATAAGTTTTTAATAATTAGTTTTGTAGTTAAATTAATTATATGATATATTATTTCATTGATAAATATATAACTAGCTCGGCATGTTTTTTAAAGTATGTTTTTTTTTTAACAAGCTGTCAGTTGCATGGCCTCCTGGGTAATCCTCCATTGTCACAAAGATCATGCGTGTTCAATTTTAAATTACAACAGTCACACATTCCATAAACTCCAATATGTTCACAAGCTACTAAATGTAACTAATTTAAATTGTTATTAAAGTAAACTAATGTCTTTTATTATTACTATTTTATTATTAAAATAAAACTTTTTCATTATTAAAAATATTTTTTTCTTAACTTTTCATTTTATTAAATTTTTCTGTAATATTTTTCCCTAAGGTACTTACAGTATTGAGATTACTAATTTTTGCACTGTGATTTTAAGTAATGTTGTTAATGTATGTATACAAATATCTTAGTGTAAAGCATCTTATAGAAAGTATTAATATTTAGTATTATATACATATATTAGGGCTTGCACGACTACTGGTTTCTGTTAATTTTTTTTTTTTTTTTCAAAATAATACTCGAGTTAGTCGACTACCCGTGATTTGAGCTAGTTAGAAAGACAAAAATAAATCCTTCTCAATACACGTTTTATTAATTCATATACTGTAAAACCCAAAAAAGTTAAGGTAGCTCACCATTTCAGAAAACCGATTGCAACAAACCATTTAAGTTCAAAAACTTATCCTAATGAGTACTGTGAACTTAATTTATTTGAGTAAAAAAAGCAATTTGAGCACAGTAAAACACAATAAATGAAGAGAACTCAAACAAAGTGAGTTTTGTAAAACCAAATAAATTAAGACAACTCAAATTGTTTAAGGAAGCCGATTGCTACAAACCATTTGAATGAAAAAAAAAACTAATCACTAATCAAAACAAAAAACTAATGTGAACTTTCCCAATTAAGTGGAAGTGATGAGGTATTTAATTAACTCATTACCTTCAACACTGAGTTCAAAACTCTTTTCAAATGAGCAGAATGAACTTTCAGTCAATTCGGAGTTAACTACACTCATTTCATTGGATAAAGTTGACTGTTGGGTTTTACAGTAGCCGATTGCAACAATTTCATAGGCCTAACATAAACTGTCAAAACATTAATATTACATAATTTTCTTTTAAGTTACAGAGTAATATAAAAACAAAAGCTGCACACAACATTGTAATCTTAACATCTGCGTCATAGGCTTCCTGTATGCGAAGCGAACTCCATGTGCATCCTGTAATACTTTAATAAGTTATTTAAGTAACTTTTAGGGTTGCACGGTTTTACTTGTACTATGGTAGTACCGCGATACTAGGGCTCCAAAATACTGGCGGTGCCACTGTAGTACCGTCATTAATGGTTTATCTACAATAGTTAATGTTGCATGTGGAAAATTCACTAAACTGCTCACACGTTTGAGATAGAGCATTTTATTTTAGAATTTGTGTCTATTATGATAGCCTATTGCACATTGCACACTTCAATTCAAACGCACATCTGAATCGGTTCATTTCTGTTCCTGTTAATATGATTTAGAAGCTACAACAACTGCAACAATCTCTTTAAAAGAACGACTCACGAAGTGAACTTATTATTAAATTTGAATTGTTGCCTGATAAGACTGAAAAAAATAGATGAAAAACCCAAAAGAGCATCAGGAAACATTGAAACAAGTTTGGACCACTTCATATAGGAGAAAAATGCTCTTTTGTAGCAGATTGGGTTCAGTATAATTTGTATCTTTATTTGGCCTTAAGAGAATTATGAATCTAATTCAAGTAGGCCTATTATAGCAAAATCTAGTATTTCTGACAATTGTATTTATTTGTTATGAATTACAGTATCATGATGCTTCAGCTGGTATAGTATCGTAAGATTAATGGTATCGTGACAACCCTAGTAATTTTTCAGCAGTAATATAAACTAGGTAAAACTTAATTGCTAAAATCAGAATAGAATACGTAATATACTGCAATTTCACTGCATGTAAAAGTGTATGTGGCAACTAAAGGCTTTTTATCTCCATCAATACAGCTCAATCGACAAAAAAAATAGCCTAATAATTAAAAACATAAATAATATGTAAAGAGTTAAAATTGAAAATACATAAATAAAATAATAATAATACTAAATAAAAAAGCTAGGCTAATTATTACATTTTGATTTTACATTTAGTATTACTGTTATAATAATAATAATACTACTACCAATAATAACAATTAATAATAATAATAATAATAATAATAATAATAACAATTATTATTATTATTATTATTATTATTATTATTATTATTATTATTATTGATATTATGGATATTTTTGTTATTATTGATTTTATTATTATTATTATCATTATTATTATCAATCTAAATGCCTGTAAAAATAGTAATGTCATGTTTTCGTGAACTAAGAGCTCAGGTTATGCTGGTTTAAGTGCAGGAATAAAAGGAAAGTGATGTCAAACCTGTAAAAGCAGGTGATACTTTAAAACTCTCTGCATCGGGACAACCAGCAGGTCTCTGAGAGTAAACTTCCCATTATTGGCTCGCTTTGAACACAACTGAAATCAATAAACATACACCACATATAACATTTATAGAAGCAAATGATGTAAATATAAACATACAAACAGTTCTATAAACATTTTATTTCTGGTATATTATACATATATTATTTTACATTTACAAAAAAATAAATAAACGTTTCAAAACAGTGCTGTTCACAACCACCAGGGGGCAGCGCTTCACAGCAAATAAACACGGCCACATCTATTTCAGTTATAATTATTCAATTATAAGTTATGAATAATAATTCAATTTTCAGAATTATATTATAATAGTTTTCTCAGCAATTAAAATATCCTTAAAAAAAACATATAGTTTTAAAATTTCATAATAAATAAACACTACCACATCATTTTTTGAACATCTCACCTCTAGCATCTGCCGGACGTCCTCTCTGTTCTTACAGATGTCATCCAGACATGCAATGGCAGATTCCACTTGACTGCAGTATTTGCCGTACAGGACTAATCTATAGCAGAGTAAAGCAAACACATATGAGACAGATTTCACTCTTAAAGAGATACGAAGAACAAATCTGTCACCTTTCTTTGTATTTGATGAAGATCTGGTAGAGGTTTGTGGCGTTGTGCATGAGCACTGAATCCTGCACTTCCCTCAGGAGACTCGTGTGCACTTTCACAAGATCCTGATGTGATGAAGAATATGAAAATATGAAGCGACGAGGACTAATACGCTGGATTTATGCTAAAGCCTGTGCTTCATAAACTCACTGGTATGTTGATGAACACTTTTTCGATCTCCACGCTGGACAGCGACTGTCCCAGAGGCTTCATAAAGAACTGTGGGTGGAGGGAAAAAAAGACAGAGCACAGAAAGTTGCTATGACTAAAGCACTTTGTTTGCAATTTGATGTATGTCTGGTGTGTCAAGCTAAATTTATTATGGTTTAATCATGGAAATTACAATGAATATATAAAAATATGCACATAAAAATGCATTTAAAATTAAAATGACGATTTGAACCGTTATAAAAATGCACCATCATTTCATAACTAGTAACTGGAACTGGACATAGTAACTAGTAACTAAAATAGAATATATATATATAGAATAGAATATAAAATAAAAGAATGGTTTGAATCATTTTACCATCTTTTTTGAATTATTATTACTATTTACACTCATTGGCCACTTTATTAGGTACACCTGTCTAACTGCTTGCTAGCAATTTTTTAATCAGCCAATCACATGGCAGCAACTCAATGCATTTAGGCATGTAGACATAGTCAAGACGATCTGCTGCAGTTCAAAAAGAGCATCAGGATGGAAAAGAAAGGTGTTTTAAGTGACTTTGAACATGGCATGGTTGCTGGTTGCATGGTTGGTCTGAGTATTTCAGAAACTGCTGATCTACTGGAACTTTCATGCACAAACATCTCTGGGGTTTACGGAGAATGGTCAGATAAAGAGAAAATATCCATTGAGCGGCAGTTCTGTAGGCACAAATGCCTTGTTGTTGCCCGAGGTCAGAGGAGAATGGCCAGACTGGTTCGAGTTGACAGAAAAGCAAAAGTAACTCAAATAATAACTCTTTACGGAGTCTTCATTTCTGCAGCGACATTCGGATGGTAGGGTCAGAATTTGGCATCAACAACATGAAAGCATGGGTTCATCCTGCCTAACATCAACAGTTCAGGATGGTGTTGGTGGTGTAATAGTGTGGAGGATTTCTTCTTTGCACACTTTGGGCTCAATTATTTAGTACCAATTGAGCATTGTGTCAATGCCATAGCCTACCTTGTATTGTTGCTGAGCATGTCCATTCCTTTATGACCACAGTGTACCCATCTTCTGATGGCTACTTACAGCAGGATAACACGCCATGTCATAAAGCGCAAATCATCTCAGACTGCTCTCTTGAACATAACAATAAGTTCACTAAAACTTAAATGGCCACCAGATCTCAATTCAATAGAGCACCTTTGGAATGCTGTGGAAGGAGATATTCACATCATAGACATGCAGCCAACAAATCTGCAGCAACTGCGTGATGCTATCATGTCAATATGGAGCAGAATCTCTTGAGGAATATTTCCAGCACCATGTTGAATCTATTCCACAAAGGATTAAAGCAGTTCTGAAGGCAAATGAGGGTTCAACCCGGTACAAGTAAGGTGTACCTAATAAAGTGGCCGGCGAGTGTATAATGCAACAATAAAATATTAGAGCATGTAACATATTTTAATACCTTATATGTATATTAGACAAATATTAATAAATAAATACGACTTATAATTATATGCTATATCATATGTTATTTGTAGTAATTGATTTTAAATACACAATTTATTGCTGTAACTACAATCCAAATGTTGTATATGAGTAAAATAGCTTATTGAATAAAGCCCACCACTACAGATAATAATGATAATAACCATTTACAGTAATAATATATTTGTTTACACTCTATTGACTGTAGTTAAACGTGTTTATGCTACTTTATTTGACATTTTCATAAACATAGATTAATAATAATGGTGGCTTATAGCTAGGGCCAGACCGAATCTGTGGACGTTTTTTGCTATTTCTGCTGAGAATTTTGGAAAATAATTTGCGGACTTCTGTGGAATTTTTTTGGGAGTATCATAACTAAAACCTTAATATATAAAATAAAAAATAACATTTTTTAAACTTTTATTTAATGTTTAAAATGCAAATCCAATTAGATTCACTTAATTTGGTAAACAAAGCAAGTGTGTCATATAATATATCTAGTAAAAGACAGAACATAATACTGTACACACTGCATTGTACATAAATCAGATGAACATTTTCATATTAGTCAATAATATTACTGTAATTGATTAAAAAATTAAATAAATATAGATTTGCACAAATTTACTCAAGCAAATAAACAGTAATAATGATGGGCTAAAAATCTGCGGAAAATCTACTTGCCTACTTACAGCATGCAAATGTAACAAGAAATGAATGCAATTCATATCATATATTGGCAGGAACTGTACTGTACACCATTGTAAAATATTGTAAGGTAACATGGGCAAAATGATCCCTCCATGGTTTTATTTGTATCTACTATAAACACTAAAAATCAATCAGAATCTGATTACCAAAGTTAACTTTGTGCTGCATTACATTAAAGAGATAGTTCACCCAAAAATAAAAACTCTGTCATCATTTACTCGAATTAAGGATTAAAGTAAATAAATGTTCTAAACCTATTTGAATTTCTTTTTTCCGTTGAACACAAAAGAAGATATTTTGAAGAATGTTGAAAGATAACATCTGATTTAACCCTCTGGGGTCAAAGGTCATTTTGGGTCATAAGATATTTTGACATGCCCTGACATTTGTGCTTATTTCAGCTACTTATTACATAGTACTGGCCAACATGTATTTATTTTTTATTTTTTGTATTTAGCACAAGCTGTGCTACAATAATAAGTGATAAAGAAGGATGTACATGTTTGCGTTTTTTAGGGAAAAACATACATGTACAGTTGGGGATTAAAAAAAAAATGTTGCTGGAATGAGGTCCAAAAAAACACAATAAATGGGCCTGAATTAGACTTCTGAGAAACCAGTTTTGTAGGATAGAATCTTTACTTCACAATTATGTGAAAATTATTATGTTCTCTCATTCAAAGAAAACATTACAGTGATTTAATAATTTAACAATTTAGTAATTGCTTTTTCCTACTATGGAACTAAATGGTTACCAGTTTCCTACATTCTTCATATTATCTTCAAGTTGAGTAAATGAAGAGTACATTTTCTTTTATTTTTGGGGTAAACTGTCCCTTTAAGCAGATCTCTCAGCAGGTTCTGAACATAAGTCTGTAGTTGTTAGCAGGCCTCACTTTCTCTATAGAGTCCAGTGTCTCAGTGTATTTCTCCTCAGTTTGCTTGATCTCCATCAGACAGCAGCTCCTGATGTCCGTCTCTGCCTGTTTCTGTGATCACAACACAAAATATAACTCACAAACCTTCACTACCTGACAAAAGTTTTGTCGCCAATGCATGTTTTAAGAACAACAAATAATAACTTGACCTCTAGTTGATCATTTGGTATTTGTAGTGGCTTATATGAAAGGTAAAGGCCTCTAGATTACGCTTATTTTACCATAATATAATATGATCACACCTTGATTGTTAATTATTTATTTAGGACAGTAAGGTCTGACTTTGCTTTGACAAAAGTCTTGTCACAACAGAAATAATGTACAGTATAAAATATAAAGTCATGGTGTAGTGGAAAAACAAATTAATTTTGTGTATGACTCGGCTTGGAGGACAGCATCCATACATCTCTGCTATGACTCAAATAACTTATTAATAAAGTCATCTGGAACGGCAAAGAAAGTGTTCTTGCAGGACTCCCAGAGGTTATCGAGATACTTTGGATTCATCTTCAATGCCTCCTCCATCTTACTATAGACATGCTAAATAATGTTCATTACTGGAGACTGGGCTGGCCAATCCTGGAGCACCTTGACCTTCTTTGCTTTCAGGAACTTTGATGTCGAGGCTGGAGTATGAGAAGGAGCGCTTTCCTGCTGAAGAATTTGCCCTCTGCTATAGTTTGTAATGTAATGGGCAGCTCAAATGTCTTGATACCTCAGGCTGTTGATGTTGCCATTCACTTTGCAGATCTCCCGCACGCCCCATTACTGAATGTAACCCAAACCATGATTTCTCTTTTACCAAAATTGACCAGACTGATTTTTTTGAGAATCTTGGGTCTATGTGGGTACCAATAGATCTTCTGCTGTATTTGTGAAGATTGAGATACAGTTCAACTGATAGGAAAAATCTACATCCTGCCACTTTTCTAAATGATCAACTAGAAGTCAAGTTATTATTTGTCGCTCTTACAACTGGGATTGAAGACAAGAGGTGTACACATATAGTATGTTCACTCCTAAATCATTCAGGTAAACTCACCTGTGGCTGAACCAACTCGACCTTCATCAGGTCTTCATACACCTCACCACCTTCATCATCGTCGTACACACAGTCATAGAGATCCTCCTCATCTTCAACACCGTTCTCACTGAAACACACAAACCAACAGCATTCAGCCATTTAAGAGTAATTGCAAAAATGACAGAACAATTTATGAATTCATGAACATTTGTCCAGGAATAATCACAAAATCAGCACATCACGTCTCTTACGTTGCTCTGATGTGATTTTGTCCACTCTTTTTCTAGCTTCTTACATATTTCAGGTAATAAAGTGGGTTGATTAAAATGATAGATCACCCAAAAATATATATATTGACTGTTTTGTTTATGTTAAACACAAAGGAAGATATTTTGAAGAAAGCTGAAAACCTGTAACCATTGACAACCATAGTAGGTAATCAATGTTTACCGGTTTCAAGCTTTCTTTAAAATATCTTCTTTGGTATTCAACTGAAGAAAAAAAAACCTCATTAAGCTTTGGAACAAGTAAAGTGTGAGTAAATGATGACACAATTTTCATTTTTTGGTGAACTATCCCTTAAGGCCAATTTAAACTTCTAATGTATGTGATGTGCACAAGCTAGATCCAGAGAAGCTTTCGCAGTCATTCATCTTACACTGATACACACATCTCAACAACCACAACATCATTGTGGTCCACAGCAACATCTGTGATTGGTCGGTTTGGTGGCAGTGCTGAGTGTGGGAGGGGCAAAGCGAGGCCGATGTCAGGAGAGTTTAACATGTGTTGAGTCCAATTGAGGAGCTCAGGATGAATACTTTTGTTTTGTATTTACTTTATGATTAAAGTTGTTAAACGTTCACCAGTTCCTCTGTCATTCTTCCTTGTATGAGTATGAGCTACTTCTACATTAGAATCACACCAATTTCTATGATGTAACCTTACAAAAATCTGCGAAGAAACTCAACACGGTGGACTAAAGAAACCCCACTGCCTACTAGTGTTTCGGAAGTGTTATTGCCAGAGCAGCATAGACATAATAAAAAACTACATTTTTACAATGTCGTAAGCTATGTGCAAGGTATGGGCCATTAAATATAGCAATCTCTTAAGTATAAATCAGGCTTTAGCCATAACTTTTTCATCAAGTATTTCCAGAGATTTCCTATCAGGTTTAGATCAGGACTCTGGGATGACATTACATTATTTCAGTGTTTGCAGTTTTAATGCGCTATAATGCTGTGTGATAGAGCTCATTGCCCTGCATTAAAATGCTGGCTGATTGAGCAATGAACACAAGGAAGAAACTGCATGTTGCTTAAGGAGTGTGAGATGAACATGTTGAACATGCACTGCTATGTAGCTTTATTAGAGACCAAACTCCTGCTGCAGAAAGCTTGATTTCATGATTCACTTTCACATCTTTAGACATTTAGAGTTCAGTCTTTCTCCATTTTGATGACAAACATAATGTTTCTCGTCAGACCCTAAATCGAACTTGCTTGCTTAAAGAAAACTTTGGATCAGATTTCTTGCTCCTCGATAAAGCCTTTTGACTCTTGCTGCTTTCTCTGTTTGGTCACTGCAGGGCTTTCAGTCAAACTCTCTTAAACACCACTGTATGTTAAAGGGCACATAGGTTACCCCTTTTTTCATATTTAATATAAGTCTTTTGTGTCCCCAGAATGTGTCTGTAAAGTTTCAGCTCAAAACACCCATTAGAGTATGTATTATAGCTGTTTGAAATGTCTGTATTATAGCTGGGAAAAGGTTGTTCCTGTGTTTTTGCTGTCATCCCCGCCCACCGATCCCACGTGCCTGTCAGCAGCATGCCTCAACACGCCCTCGGCTGCCTCAGGAAGCAGATCTCACGTAAGGTTTGTGAGAAATACTACAGTAAGAACTTTACCATCAGTATTTGATGCATTTTTTTGTGGAGTTGCAACAATCAGTTCATGCACACACCGCGCAGACACGCAGACACACACACATAGCACAGACACGTGGCAAGACACACACGCATATACATAGCATAGAGATGCAGGCAGACACACACACACACATAGCACAGACAAGTATTGCACACACACACGCACATACATAGCGTAGAGACGCAGGCAGACACAAACACACACACACATAGCACAGACAAGTAGCACAAACACACACGCACATACATAGCGTAGAGACGCAAGCAGGCACACACACACACATAGCACAGACAAGTAGCGCAGACAGAAACACACACATATAGTGTAGAGACGCAGACACACACACACGCACACAGAGAGACAATGAGAGAGACACGAGGTAGAGATCTGCGCGGGACTAAATTTTGATTCTCTCTCCCGCCCGCACCCGGCAGGTTTTAGCCCAAACCCGACCGTTCCCGTCTATATTAAATATTTGTTGTCCCGCTGCCCGACCCGCCCCGTTTTCTACCCGCCGCGCTCGATCCCGCTAAAGAGCGGGGTGGAGAACAAAACCGAAAATCCCCCAACTATACAGTCCAGACAGCCTATAACAAGCTGTCTGTATAAACACACTCACACACAGCACCAAGCACACACACAGACAAAGCTCTCTCTCTCTTATTCGCGCGCGCGCGCGCGCGCACTAACACACACACATAAGCACCAAGCACGCACACAGGCAAAGCTCGCTCTCTCTCTCTCTCTTTCTCTCATTCGCGCGCGCACTAACACACACACAGGCAAAGCTCTCTCTCTCTCTCATTCGCGCGCGCACACACACACACACCCCTCTCATTTGCGCATGCGCACACACACACACACACACACACACACACACACACAGCAACAAACAAGCTAAACACAGCATCGCGCTATTTCATTTACACACATACATACGCGTGGTCGCTCGGGAGTCGGGAGCGATATTGCTAGACAGCCTGCTCCCGTCCCAAATTAAACTCGTTACCGACCGCTCCCGCGATTTATTCGGAAATTTATTCCTGCGCCGCAGAAATCTGGTCGGGTCCTGCGGCGCCCGAGGGACAGCCGCGGCAATGCAGACCTCTAACACGAGGCTGTGCTGATGAAGTGAATCGCTGTACTTTATTACACACGTGCTCACGTTTTAAAACATGTTAAACTTGTAAAACTCACTCTTGATCACGTCTGATGATGATTGATGATCTTAGCAAACTGAACAGACCTTTTATTCCCGGTTGCTTTGCGCTCGTCATTTCTTGTCGATATGAGCATATGCATTACTACAGAGACATGTTAATGCGCAGCTGTCAATCAATATTGGTGGGCGGGGGGATCGCACTCCTACGTAAAGTTGCAGTCGATCTGAAAACCGCTCCAAATGGTCCACCGTTTTTATGTTGTTAAATTTGGGGGAAAAAAGGACTGGGTGTGTTTATATCACCCCAATATGACAGTATATACTCTATACTTACACACATGTATGTCCAAACAGCTTGAAAAGTAGATTTTTCACCATAGGTGCCCTTTAAGATATTGATCTTTACCCTGTTCAAGAAGAACTGGATTAAGGTGCTGTTTACAATAACAGTGTGTTTCTGTTTTAAAAAGTACAGCTTTTGTTATAGTTATGCCTGGTGTTGACACTTCTCAGACACCTCTGGCTAGTGAAAACAGAGCTTTAAAAATACAGAAGACCTCATTTTTGTTTTCAGTTTCAGTAAATAGATGGACTGAAATGCAGATTTTGTAAAACAAAGGCATGGCTATCCACAGTTGCCCTCTGACTGAACTTCTGGACTATTGCATATCATTCCAATTTGTGATGCCCCTCTCATATTACAGTACCATAACACAACCGGTAGACACAAAGTACATAATGAAATATTTTACAAATTGCAGATTTTCTCTTGATGTAGTCTTCATCTTCATCCGTTTAGTCTTCATCTTGTTAATCTGTTTTCAAAAGGTTTTAGTCCCCTTAAAACAGCTCATTGTCTTGCAAAAATCAATGAAAACTGGAAAGATCAGCTTGCAGAAGGCCCTTAATTCCTGGATGGACGCAGCTCTGCATAGTTTAGCTTCAACCACCTCCAACTCACACCTTAATAATCTCTAGTAGTCTTGAACACCTTGTATATTTGGATCAGCTGTGTTTGGTTGGAGCAAAACTGTGCAGAGCTGCGGCCCTACAGGAACTGAGTTTGAGAACTACTGTAATGCTATTGACCTTATTCTAAAATGCGGAAGTGCGCCTGTTTTCGCGATTGTCTTAGAACTTCCGTTTCAGTCGCCTATGGGAGAAATGACTAGGAATAATAAACGGCAAAAAACGGTCAAACTACTTGCTCTACAAACAAATGTTTGCATGACTATACAGACCAAGTAGAATAATATAATAAGAAAGCAGGGGTGCCCAAGCTCATTCCTGGAGGGCCGGTGTCATGCATACATAGTTTACCTCCAACTTCCTTTAACACACCTGTATGGATGTTTCTAGTATACCTGGAAAGAGCTTGATTAGCTGGTTCAGGTGTGTTTAATCGTTGTTGGAACTAAAATATGCAGGACACTGGCCCTCCAGGACCGAGTTTGGGCACCGCTGCTATAAAGGATTTGGCAGAGGATTAATAAAATTACTGCTATAAGAATTCTGGCCCAGATTTGGCATAACGTTGGCTCAGCAGGTGTTCATACAGTACTGGCATACAGCATGTGGGCCAAACAAGGCTCTGCTTCGGCAGAGGTGGCACCATCTTTAAAGCAGCACACAAGACCTGTGCCAGAAATCAAATGTAGAATTAGACCAGATATTAAATATTTAAACGTGGGCCACGAAAGTTTTACCTATCTTGACCCACTTTTAAAACACATTCAAATTATTTTTGAGTAAAGAAAAATTCTACCAATCGGGTTGCTTCGAGAAAAAGCTCGGCCATAAAGCTAAATGCTTCATGGGTTTATCAAATTCATTGCAGTCATGACACCAACATATCTGACCCAGTTATGTGTTTTTAACTTGGCCCAGATTTGGTCTATGTTTGGTCCTTTTATAAAATCCAGACTTGGTCCAGTCACGTACCGCAATTCACAACTGTATGTGAGCCTAATTGTGTGGTCCAGATCTGAGCCAGAGAGATTTTGCTATGTGGGCTGTGCTTTTTACACTTAAGTTTTTATACTCTGTGTGAAACCAAACCAAAACTGCTCGTTTAGTCTCATAAAGTTAACTTCAAATAGTACAAAGCTGTGACCTTGAAATTTAGAAAATTGTAGGTTGTTCTGTAATTTTAGGCAATCATTTGGTTACAGAGAGAAAACAAATTGACTCTAAAGCTGAAAAAAGATAGCACAATGTGTTTAAAAGGCTTAGCGTATCCGATATACTCGAGAAAAAGACTCTTCTAGAAACTGCTCACGAGGGGCTTTGAAACGATTATGTTTCCCTTGTCTAAATTAAACACGCGGTTTTCAGCTCGAGCAAAAGCAAGAGCCAGGAGACATTCTAGCTGAGTCAGGCCCTAAAATCTCTCAGACATGTTCTCCAGATGCCTGTAAACCATGGAGAGAGAAACTGATGTCTTTTCCGAAGCATGTCTGTAGTTTTGAATCTATTTCGAAACGCCTCGTCTCTGACAGGGACAGAATGATACTGGCAGATCAGCCACTGGGGGAAAACACTCAGCAAACACGTTTCATATGAACAAACCATCATATGTGGAAAACAAGCATCTTCTAGAGGCCTCGTGTGTGTGTGTGTGTGTGTGTGTGTGTGTGTGTGTGTGTGTGTGTGTGTGTGTGTGTGTGTGTGTGTGTGTGTGTGTGTGTGTGTGTGTGTGTGTGTGTGTGTGTGTGTGTGTGTGTGTGAGCACAAGAAACAGATGTGATGTTGTCGAGCCAAAACACAGTGACAGTAATATTTGCTAAGCATGACATCAAATCCGAACAGACACTCCTGCTACTTGTTGTCGTTATTCAACGTCCTGAAAAATTATGGTTTGTTACTCAGCAGAAAGACCTTTCATAGAATCACATACTGAAGGATTAATGTAAAAAAAAAGCTCTTAAAAGGAAAGTTATACCAAATAACAGTGGGCACCTTGATGTCAAAACAACCAATAAACCTGTCGAAAACACTAAACCTTGGCTTCTATTTGACATTCAAACATTGATGCATTATTAACCACCAAAATAATGATACAAAAATATGAAAAGTATAAAATAGGAAAAGTTTTATTCATCTGAAAGCCTGAATTACACAATTTTGTATCCCTATAATGCATGTAAACTAATTTAATGTCAAAACGGGCATCAGATTGACATCTAAAATTGGCATCAAATATCTGTCAAAACTGCATCAAATTGACATCTTAAACTGATATGGACACCTTGATGTAAAAACAACCAATAAATCTGTCAAAAATGCTAAATCGAAACCTTGACATCTATTTGACATTCACACATTGATGCACTTCTGATCAGCAAAATAACAACACAAAAAAAATTATAAAATAAAAGAAGGTTTATTCATCTGAAAGCATCAATTCCAAATTTGGATTTTGTATCCCTGCAAAGCATGTAAACTAACTTGATGTCAAAATTACATCAAATTGATGTCTAAAATTGGAATCAAATATCTGTCAAAACTGCATCAAATTGTCGAGGGCACCTTGACATCCAAACATCATCAAAAACCTGTCAAAAATAATAAATTAATTTGATGTCAAAATCTTGACGTCTATTTGACATCCACACATTGATGCATTTTTTACCACCAAAATAATGACATTAAAAGTACTTTAAAATAAGAAATGTTTTATTCATCTGAAAGCCTCATTTCCAAATTTGGATTTTGTATTCCTACAATGCATGTAAACTTACTTAATGTCAAAATAACATCAAATTGACATCTAAAATTGGCATCAAATATCTGTCAAAACGATATCAAACTGACATCTAAAATTGTTGTGGGCACCTTGATATCAAAACATTATCAAAAACATGTCAAAAACGCTGAATCGATTTGATGTCAAAACCTTGACGTCTATTTGACATCCACACATTGATGAATTTTTGACCACAAAAATAATGACATTAAAAGTAAAATGAGAAATGTTTTATTATGTTTTATAAAAGCCTCAATTCCAAATGTGGATTTTGTAACATATTTTGTGTTCAACACAAGGTGTAGAACCATTAAGCAGTGAGCAAATTTTCATTTTCAATGAACTATGCCTTTAACAGTGCAAGGAACTATTGCTTTTTCGAGTTCTACAGCCGGTAAGCAGTGCCAGATACAGATTTCTGATGGCCCTAAGCAGAGATTTGAGAGGGGCCACTGTCAGTGTGTTCATAAAAAGCCCAAAAATGACCAGTTCTTTTAGATCAGTATCAGTGCACAGTAATTCAACAAAACAAGAATGAAAATGTTACTACGGTGAAAGATTTATTGCAAATTAATATTTTTAGAACTATGCCAAAAAAAAAAAAAAAAAGATAACATTTATTTTAGCAGAAATTACAATAAAAGCAGTCATATTGGGTTTCTTTTTTTTAATGTGTATATTTTTAGCAATTCATTCCAGGAATGGAAACATTGAAGTTTTTTAATCATTACTCCAGTCTTCAGTATCAAATCATCTTTAATATAATTGTAAATATGCTTATTTGTACCCCAATTAACATTTTTTATTATCATCAAACTTAAAAAAAAAAAAAAAAAAAAAAAAAAAAAAAAAAAAAAGCTTTTCTGCTTATTATTTTTGAAACTGCTAGGATTTTTGGTGAATATAAAGAAAAAAAACAGTATTTATCTGAAAAGCGTTACTTGTAACTTTTACATTTCAATAACCCTTTTAAATCCATGTTCTTTGCAAATAAATGTTTTTTTTTTGTTCATTTTTTTATCATTTTATGTCTATATGGCTTTTTTAAATTTGTATTATTTCACATTGAAGATATATTAAATGAAAATGAGACTAGCAGCTAGTGTAAATTTTATTATATTTATATATATTTAAATATTCCCAGTAAGTAACAACAGTTCAATTTTAAACATTTTAAATTTTATATTTGGTTGTAGTTAATGACCCTGTTACAGGGAACAGCATGTACAGTATGTGCAATGACTCAATTTGTCAACATCAATGCATTAAGAAGCCCGAGGCTCCTGTAGCTCCCTAAACAGACAAAGTATCATACAGTGAGCTGTGGGTTCAAACATCATCTCATTTCTGCAGAAGAAGAGCATCAGTGGACACAGAAAAATGACTCACTCTATCAGATCCTCAAGATGGTTATAAATGTCTTCATCCTCAACACTCTCTTCTGTGGGAAACGGCCTAGAATAGAAAGACCCGGACACAAAATATACATTATTTATCAGCTCTCTTATAAAAGTGGAAATAATTCACTTGCTCTTTTTAAACATACCTTATTCCAGTCTGCTGTGCAATGTGCGTATGAGAGAGTTTGGACAGCGTGTCCATAACCTAAGAGAAAAATAAAAATTAAATTATCACCATTTGTTAAACAAAGGAGTATATTCAAAGTCAATATTGGAGCTACACTGCTACTTATTAATACATTTATTCATACAATCCATAATAACTGATTTTAATATATTACATATTGTTGTGTGTTCATATATATATATATATATATATATATATATATATATATATATATATATATATATATATATATATATATATATATATATATATATATATATATATATAAACAGTTCTGTCTGGTTCTCGAATCTGATTGGCTGATAGATGTGTGATCTTCTACAATAACAGCACTCTTACAGCCTTTTCACTCTTGTGTATTACTCCGCCCACATAGAGTGCCAACAGATCAATACACTTACTAGAGTTTGACAAATATTGCAGCTGTTGGACAACATAATGACTGTTAATGACAACATAATGACATAATGACAACATAAAGTACTTTTGAGGCTTTTTAGGCAAGAATGTAGTTGTTTAGATTGCAACTATACAGTTTATAAGGATAGTGCTTATTTTAAAAATGTATAATTTTAAATCGGCAGCCAGTCATACTAAGGCAATTGCGCCACAAAATGGTGACAGAGTAGTGTAGCAGTGGCAGAGTAGCAGTGTGATATTGCTTATATATGATCCAGAAAACTTAACCTTAACCACTTATTTAAATCAATCAGAATTCTCTCAATATTAATAAAATAAATATACAAAAGATTTCACATTTATCATATTTTTTAATTATATAATTGTAGGTTCTTTGTTTTATTTATTATTTATGAATCATAAAACCTATTCTAGTTATTAATTAATATGTAATTAAAATAAGTTTAATTAATAGATTACATATAAACACAGTATACTGTATAGATAATCGTAAAATGGCTATAGAGACAAAAAATCTGAAGTTATAATAACTAAAGTTGTGAGATGAATCTTTTACATGTTGTATCAGCATTTTATAGCATATGATAAGAAAATTTGTGAAAACATACTTGATAAAACAAACTCTGATTGGCTACTGCATTCATAAGCTCAACAGAAATGTGTGTGATTTGTTATAAGTAGACCCACACAGAATCTGCACGCACAGAATTCAGCAGATTTTAAGCCTATCGTTGATTCTGTTTATTTATTTGTGTAAATGTGTGTAAATTCATATTTATTCAAATTTAAAATTAATTTCAGTAATATTACTGACTATTATGAAAATATTTCTGATTTATTTACAATATAGTTTGTAAAGTAATATTTTCTGTCTTTTAGTAGATATATTATATGAGAGACTTGCTTTAAAGTCGATCTAATTGGATTTGCATTATAAACATTATACAAATTAAAAAGCTATTACTTTTTATTTCATATATTAGGGTTTTAGTTATGATACTCCCAAAATCATAAATCGGCAGCGTTTTACCAATATTCTGCGCAGAAATAGCAAAAAATGTCCGCAGATTCTGTCTGGTCATAGTTATAAGGCTCAGCACTGCAAAAGTGTAATGCTACAAATCAACATGTTTCATACATTTTCAAATTTCATTCATTTTCAAACATACAAAAATATACAATATATTTAAAAACATGTCAAATAAAGATGTTTACATATACACATGCTTCTCTTTTCTATTTAACCTATTCAACCTACGACCATTTTCTGAAAATAATCACTCTAATTGATACTATATTCTTTGAAATCATCAAAACATATCAGTAATTTATCAAATAAAGCACAACAACTGCAAAACAACATTCAGACTTTAAGCAAAAAAAATACATACTTTTATGATAATTATTATAACTTACAATGCTATTTAACAACTAAATAATTGTATAAAGTGCTCAGCATAAATGAGTACACCCCTCTCAAAACTTGTGTATATCTAAATGTATAGGGGGCTATGCAATTTTATATTGCATATATTTTATATTTATATATTTATAAGTCTAGTCATCACTGAAGGCAAATCTGGAGCTAATCTAACAAAATGACTTACAATAACATGCCAAAAAAAAAAAAAAAAAAAAACACACAAATGTAAATGTTGGGGGAAAATATAAGATAAACATGTAAATAGTAGAGGGGGGGGGGGGGTTAAGAGAAACAGTATATGTATATACCATTTAGAAATTTTTTTATTTTGCATGATTTTTAATGTATTATTTGTCTCTTAAGATTTTTGGTAACAAAAATATTATTTTAATAAATATATATTTTTAAATATTTTTTTTTGTTCTAATGCACCGAACATTTAAATAGTTTTTTTTTCTGTGCAAATAACATAAAAAGGTACAGTGATAATTATGTTTATTATGCATTTAATAACCTATTTATTTTCATGATAAAACCCATTCACGTATTATATAAAAAAATATTAATTTTAAAATATATATTATACTAAAAAGACCTAAAAAAAAAAATAGCAACGCATCATTATCTCCAGCAGAGGTCAGTGCTTATCAACATTTCACTGCACAATCAACCCCTGACACGTAAAGAATCAAATATGCATCATTTGTGCACTACAATTAAACAAACCACTGAACATTCATGCAGCTTTCACTTTAACACATTCATGCGTGCCACATTTCATGATCAACTCATGCACAATTTTATTTACACAGGTGTCCAGATGTAAACAAATAAACATGAACAATCAGAACACAGTTAAACATGCTAATTTGGCTTCCTAATATTGGATCATTTTCAGCTGTACAGTACTATAGTAATTTCCATATCTGTGCTGAGCATATTGGAATACACAGCGCCTGAGGAAGATGTGTTCAGAAATCAATTCCAATCACAGCAGCTCAGCTTTAGTCTGCACTGAGTTAGAGCATGAAGAGCGAGTCAAGCACCAGCAATCCTGCACCACTTCACTGAGAAATGGAGGAAAGATCTGATTCCATGCCTATATGCAACCAGCACATACTGTATGTTGATGAGAGTCATTCATATGCATTGACAAAGGTGGAATTGATTAGTCATTATGGACTTTTGTGAATGAATGTGTGGATTTTCTGGTGGGGGCAATTTCATAAACTCAAAACATTGATTTTAAACGATTTTGTTACTTAGAAATAATATTCACTGAAAGACTTTTAGAATACTTATTTCATTTAATCTATTTTACTTGTTAAAATTACTGCATATAAAAGAAAAAAAAATATTTATTTAGAAGACTAAGAAAAATGACAAAAATCATGAAAAACTTCACTTATATATATATATATAAAAATTATTAAATATAATTTTATAATAATTAAAATAATTGATTATTAATACAAATATTTAATGCAAATTTTATTGAATATTTAGAAAATGTAAACAAAAAATTTTGATCAACTGAATTGTGTGTGTGTATATATATATATATATATATATATATATATATATATATATATATATATATATATATATATATATATATATATATATGGACAAATTAAGGAAAATTTTACCAAATCATGAAAAAAAAAGTCTGCAGGGATATTGCGTACAGTCACTTTAAGAATAGTGCGGCTCTGATATGGTTTCTCTTTCGCATGTCTTTTGATTCTCAACTCGTTTGTTTATTACACAAATGAGGATTAATATGAATAATCACTAAACATCGCACTCTGACACAAATGTGTCAGATCATTAAAGTGTATTTGATCATTAAAGCGCTCACATTAAGATGGCGTTAGATGTGTGTGCTCTGCTCGTCTCCGAACCTGTCCAGGGCTTGCGCTGCACACACACTCCAACATGCTGTCTTTCGCGCTTTTAAAAATTATGAACGATTTGAATGTTAATCAATGAATGATGCGGATCACATCCTGCAAATGTTACATTACAGCACATGCTTTGTCATTTTCACTTGGAACTGAGCTTTGCAGAGCAACAATTGTGTACAACTGGAAAGGGGGTGGTATATGATGGAATAATCGTTTATCTTGATTAATGGTTTTTCATAAATGTTAGAAGCCGAAATCGAAACTGAAACTGGATTTTCAATTAATTGCACAGCCCTACCGCTTTTTTCTGCTCTTAAATTTAACTCTCAAGTGCCATTAGTACCTGCTATTCTCACCTAAATATAGCAGAGACCACTGTCGACTGACTGACTGACTGACTAACCCGAACCTCCCACCCACCCACTTCCCTAAACCCAACCAATAGTGTTTTCAATAGTACAGATTGACTCGCACACCACCTTCCCTAAACCCATCTGACAGTGTTCTCAAAAGCAATCCAGAAAAACAGCCCTCACCGCTGTCTGATTTTTACCACGGTTTAAGATCTTACCACATTCTCACTGTTATTTACTTGTTTATTTAATTTTTTTGCTTTTTGTTTTTGTTTTACCTGCTTTCTGAAACCATTCTTCACCGCACTTTGACCCCATCATTGCAATGATCTCGCTATACGTATCTCTGGCTACATAATTCATGCTCTCCAGAAATATATACAGGGCTACGTATTTACAATGAGACTTTTTTTAAATAAATGCATGCATGCTTGCTTTAGTTGTTCCACATTTTGCATGTACTGTAGACCATATGTGCCTCAAAACTATGCATGTTAATGACGTTCATGCTTAAGCGACCATCAATAAGGTGTGTTGAACAGGAAGTCCAAAAAATGAGCTGTTGCAAAATTAAGCAGCGGTTACTTTCACATTCTTGAGGTAACAAACTATAAAGCCGTGTTTAAACCTTTCGCATAAAAATATGCCAGAGCTTTTTATATACATACAATACGAAACAAAATTAAAGCCTTTGTAAGTGTGCTACTGGAAAATTTGAGCGTCTGACATACTACTTTTAGAAAAGGGAAGGTGTATTGAGAGTTAAAGTATGACGATGGAACAATTGGATACAGATTTGCAGAACCAAGAAAGAAAAGCCCCTTCATTTCCAGGATCTGTCTAAGAGTTTATAAGGAGGACAGGAACTTGTGGAAATGGTCTCAAACACGTGTTGTGCTTCAAAGAGCATGTAAA